GCTCTTCCCTCCCACCCCAGGCCTTTGCACTCTCCCTCCCCCAGAACGTTCTCTCTTCCCCTCCCCTCTTCGGATCTCAGCTCGATCATCACCTCCTCAAGGAAGGCCTCCCGACCTCCCAGATCAGGCCTAATCCTCCCCCATCACATGCCTGCATGGGACTGTGTACTTGTCCAGTGTTGCAGCTGCAGTTTCACGTGGTTCGTGTGCTTTGATGTGATTCTTGGCTTATTCTTCATCAGTGCCTCATCCCATTGTCCCCCACTAATTCCACGAGCAACCACCAGGTCTGTTTCCTTCACCATCCCATCCCTACTTTCAACACAGACGCTGAAACATAGGAAGTTCTCAATTAATAATTGTCGAATGAATGAATAAACAGATGAATGAATGAATCTGGTCTTGTTTTGAGCGTGCTCTGTGACTTTGGGAAAGTTACTTTACCTTTCGATGCTGAGTACCTCACCTGGGAACCTGTCCCAATGGGCTGAAGAGATGGCGGAGCCAGACCACCATCTGGGAGCTGCTGACAGGTCTAAAGTATCACATGGGGAGAGGGGGTATCCTTAGTAAGAGTCACAGTGGGCACGTGAGACCTAGCAGAAGAAACCACAGGTCAGTGGAGAGAAGCCAGAATGGAATCAGGAAAACCCAGAGTCTGGCCCACAGCCCCTGATTCCCTGTGTGACCTCGGGGGAGTCGCTGCCCCTCTCTGAGTCTTGGCCTTCCCATGGCCAGGATATAAGGCTTGGCCTCCATGCTGTCCCAGGCTTGCCGGGCTGGTTTGTGCTCTGGCCTGGGAAACAGACTCAGTTCCTTAGAGGCAACAAGAGCCCCAGTTGTACTGCCCAAAAGATTCCACACCCAGGTCTGCTGGGTCAGTGGCCAGGCCCAGGGTCTCCCCCGAGTGGTCTGGGCCTGGCTCAAGGCTCTGGGGTCTGAGAAGTGCCCAGCACCTGCCTCCCAGCTTGGCACAGAGAGACCTGTCTGTCAGAGCACAGCAGGGATCAGGAAGGCAGTGGTCCTGACAGGTGGGGAGTACCCCAGCAGGCAGAGTGTGGAGAAGGGGCCAGCCAGGAGGCGGCCTGTGGGGTTCTGACCCTTGGCCAAAGGCTGGATGGCTGGGCTGCCAGTTGGCAGCTGCTTCTCTGACTGCCTGCTGCCCAGAGCTAATGAGCAGGGACAGAGCAAGTACTGGGAGGCGAAGGGCTGCTTCCTTTCTTGGATAAGCCTGAGAGCCCTGACCCTGGCCCCAGACTGAGCCTGACCCTGGTGACTAACTGAAGAAGGTATTGAAAGTAGGGCAGTTTTGTCAGAGGTCCTAGTAAGAAAGGAAGGTTAAAGAAGGTTATATTTTTCAAGGGTCTACCAGATACCTGTCAAATGGGCTAGGTGTGTGTGTGTGTGTGTGTGTGTGTGTGTGTGTGTGTGTGATATCATTTAATCATCACTCAGTCCCATGAACTAGGTAACATTGTCCTCATTTTATACATGTGGTTACTAAGGCTCAGAGCATTTTTGTGACTTGCCTAAAGTCACAGAACTAGTGGGTACGCAATCCAGGATCCAGGATTCCCAAATCCAAAAGCTCTTTCCACCTCACTCTCTGCCTCGATCTTTACATAGCTGTTGCCCTTGGAAGGGGATGTTGGCATCAGGGTCCTAAGCCAGACTTGCAGAGAAGATCCAGTGACCAGTCTGAAGACCCCTCCTGGGACCTGCCTGCTCACACTTTCCCTTGTTTGGCTGTGGACCTTGGCCAAGGGCCCCAGAGG